CTTAATAATGCTTATATTGTATTCTTCTTTATGTTGCTTTTATTGATTGTTATATTGTTGCCTTTATGTAATTGGTCGCGCTGAAATCTCTGCTCATTTCATTTTTTCTAAAGGAAGTAATGTACGATGTTCTTTTGAATTCAAAATATAAAAAGTTGGTAAAACAAGACGAACTCCGTTGAAATTGTCAGGTCGCCTCTCCTCTTTGCAGTAGCCTTGCGCCTTTTAACGACAAAAAATGTGGTTAAGACAAATGAGTGTTGACCTGGCTTTTAGTAAACCCCCTCTTGATTCTTCGGCGTCCCAAGCCGGGCTCAATTGAGACATACTTTACACCTGATGTGCTGTATAATGAATGTCTAATTCATGTAATTAGTCCATTAACTATAATCCCAGCATATGTTGGCCATGCCCTGGAGGCGCTGTTCTCCCAGGTACTTCTTTTGATGTCACTGAGAAGCAGCTAATTAATTTTACATGCATACTAATATGGAGCTCAGTGTAGCGGCCAGCGCTCGTATTTATCTTGGTAACCTTTGTGGGAAATGGACTGCGTCCCACGTCTGACGGCGGCGATATGACCATCCTGGGGCTTCCTCACTCACTGGAAGGGGCTTTTGAAAAAAAATAGTGACTTCTACGCGCGTTATTTTCATGGCGAATTTTATGTTAAATTGGCTGTTGTATTTTACTCAAATTCTGCAGGACCGCTTGATCGCATTACGTTTAACAGTGTGATGATATTCATGGCGAGGGGCTCACAATTCAGAATGAGTTATTAAAAGCCAGACATAAGATAATAACTGATGTTTAACATTAATAGAGCACTACACCCTCTCAACAACAAATGCAACGCTCCTTACAGTAACGGTTTGAGCACTGTAATGAGAGCCCCCTGTCTGCTAATTAATTGACATTCTCCTGAATATTCATACATTTTATCAGAAAATATGCATTTAATTGCAGCGTAAAGCATCTCAGGGGAGGGGAAATCGCCACAGACTTAATTAAAAACAATACTTGTCTGGGCTCAGAAAGGTAAGCTGAGTCCTGTGAGTGTGTGAGACTGAGGCTCCCTCTCACAGCCCTCGCCGGCCCACCGTTTCTCCCTCCTGCTGCTGCTGCTGCTGCCCTCAGCACTCAGGTGTGGCAGTACAACAGGACTGATTGCAAATCTGAAACTGTCCATTTTAGTTTTTAATTACATATGTATACAAATGTTTGCATTAACAATGTCAATTACACCGCCAGCAATTGCAAGTTGTTTATTCATTAGTTCTTTGGTAAATCTACATTGCCCGCAGACAGAGGAGGCTAATAATGCTGAAGCACACATTTAGTTTACTGTGAGAGCACTGCGGGACTCTCGGCCCAGCGCTCAGGCTCAAAGCTCTTTAAAACAGAAACACACAGCCTGACCAGACCTTCACTGTCGCTCAGCGGACACTCTGGATTTCACTTCTGGAAACGGTGCGTTAATTTGGCTAAAAACTAATAAAAGGAAGAAATTATGTTTTTTTAATATTACACATTTTTTACTAACTAGTTATCCTTGAGTAACATTATTATTATTATTATTATTATTATTATTATTAATAATAATAATAATAATAATGCTGTGTATTATTGTTGTTGTTGTTGTTGTTAATAACATAATAATAACATTAATGCCACCCTCAATGCTAAATATTATAAACCCCAAATCTGGACTGTTTCTGAGAAATATCTGTTTGTCTTGTTTGTTTGTTTATATGAATGAAGTCCTAGGTTTTTTCCTGTTTGTGCGTCGCGCTGATTCTTCAAGTGCTTTAATTCAGACAGTCGAGTTGGTTCTGTTCGTTCCCTCCGTGGTCATCCTCTGCAGGGGTCTCAGCACGTCTCCGGGGCCATGGGTGGCAGCGTAGATCCCACCGCTGATGCACTTTGACAATATTGTTTGGCCATCATGCGCCGCGTTAGAATGAATGGGATCGATCCCCTTTTACAACATTTGTTTCCCATTGTGTGGCGGGGCAGCAGTTGAGGGCAGACGTGTGAAAGTGGCTGTTTGATTCTCTTTTTCATCCCCCTGACCTTAGCTTTTGTGCTCCATCGCCCTGGGAATGTTACGCCTCACTACTCTACTTTGAGATGCCTCAGAAAGTGCCTTTGTTTTTCTCTCACTTTCTCTCTCCCTCTCTCTCTCTCTCTCTCTCTTTGGACGCGCACAAAATTGTTCTCGGTCCCCCCCGCTGGAAAAGATACTTAAGAGTGGAGCCCCGGTTCACAAGTGCAGCGCAATTTGGCTTTAGCTCAGCCTTTGTGCGGCCTGGACAAATGACCAAACTCACGCACACATTATACAGTTGGTGTACTTTAGTGAAGGAGGGGTGTGGGTGGGAGGAAGGGGGGTGAGGGACTCTGTGGTGGCTTTTCCAGCTAAGAGTAGCCATAGATTATCAAGAGCACAACAACAGAAACAACAACAAATCTTCAGTGAACAAACACGACCTGCTCGCTTCGCGCTCAGAGCCTCAGTTGGTTAAGCGGTAAGTTAAGGACGCTGATTTGCATGAGACAGTTTGCGGAGAAAGCGCGCGCGCTGTGTGGGGTATTGGGTGGTCTCTGTCTCTCTCCCCGCGCTGCTACTGTGAGCATAATGAGTTGTGGAAACATCGCAGATCAGTTTCTCTGCCTGTCCGTGTCCGACTGAGCAGGAGAGCCCGGGTCGCTCAGTCACCAACGCCTCACATTTCATATGCGCAGAACTACTGATTTGTTTCCTGTAGGGTTTCTTTAATCTCATTGGCTCTTTTGTTTTTTTTTGGAGCCTGTGCGCTGGCCAGTAGTTTACATTATGAGCCTACTTTATTTATTTAATGTAGTATTATTATTATAGTCATACACATATAATTAGATGTAAACATACATAAACAAACACACAAAACAAACACAGAACAAAATGCGTGTGCTTTTCAAATAATTCAAATAAAATGATTAATATGGTTTAAGAAGGGCAGGTTAAAGTGTTTTTTTTTAATGGCAGGTTTGTTGGAGAATACTTGCTCTGTCTCCAAAGCCTCCGTTTGATCGACGTTTCTTGCCACAGACAGCCGGAGCTCTTTGGGAAAAGTTGTGGTGAAAAAAGCCTGGAAAATCGGAATCCTTTGGCCCTTTTCTGTCAATACACAAACAGAGGAATGACAAGTTAAAAGAGGTGCTTCATGATTCAGGGAGGAAAGAAGAGTGGTGCTATAAAAAGCGGCGCGCTAAAGACGCAGCGTGGAGCTGCTGACTTCCAGCCTGCAGAGTTTCTGACACGAGGATTGTGTGGAAACCAGGGAAACTATAACACTGTTTTCCTCCGCACTTTCAGCCTATTCTGACATTTTTAAACTCCCTCCTAAAAAGTGTGTTTTTTTTCTTTAAACAAACCCTTTTTGTAACAATCGCTACTATAAAAAAATCCACACCAGAATAAACAGTGTTGTGTAGCTTCCAGTCGCTCTTATTTGTGTGGCTGCTGCTATTCGTAATCCGTCAGAGCGCTGAAGGGTCGCATTGTGGATTTATGGAGGAAAATTTGCATAAATTATGAGCAAATCCGCGAGTGTGTGTGTGGTCCCCCGTATTGCAAATCCACCAAGCGGAAAGGTGGCCCTTGGTGAGCCTTGGAAAGAAGAAGAAGGAGAAGAAAAAAAAAGCTTGAATGGTCATTGCTCAAAATAGGCTTCCATTTGGTTTTCACATTCATATAATTGACTTATGGATATTTTATACAGTTTTCACAACGCCACCCTAAAGGCTTTATTTGCATTTCTGAAGTACTTTTCAGTTTGTTTTACATAAACACAAAAGGCTGCCTGGCATCATGAAGTTTCGTTTCAGCGACAGTGGTTTGTTTGTCGTGTCTTTTCTTTTTACGACCCACACAGTTAATCCTGCAGCAATGACTATAATTATCACTATTGTAATAACTTTATTTTAATAAGTCTAAAAGTTTTGGGACACGGTCAGCGGCGCTCAGCGTCCCAGGATATTAATAATAATCGTATTTATTATTGCTGAACAAGGCGCGTTTTCTTCTGTTTGTATTATGCGGTTTAGACACTTATGTCCCCTTTATGTTTATATTGGCTTCTCATTGCTTATGTGGAGAGCTTCCTCAAGTGCCGCGGCTGATACTGTGGGCTGTGCCTGTGCATTTAAAACGGAGCCAATGAGCCTCTCTCATATTTCAACATCGACCAAAGAGATTGCAATTTTTTAACCCGCGCACATTTGCAATTTCTCTGTTGCTGTATTATTCCATTGAGTCGAGCGGGAGTAAATACTGAGACCTGGAGACTAGTTTGACTAAACATGCAGCTGAAAAGAAGCATTTCAGATGGGTATAAATGAGTGTGGATGGGCACGCACGGCTCCCTCAGGTACAGTAGATCAGGCACATACACAAACGCGCGCTATGGTGTCCCGTTTCGTTTGCGATCATGTTTACGTTGTTGGCGCAATTCACCTTTCTTTCTTTCTTTTTTTTTGGTTTGTAACAAAGAGCACAGCAAAAGTCATGCGAGCCACGACGTGACAGCGAAACGACAAAATAAAGGAGAAAGTAGCCGTGACAGTACAATGCGACCTGAAAGCCAATTTCCATGTCAAACATCCCGTGGCTTTAGTAGCTCCATTTGTAGCCCACAGAAAGGTTAGCGCATACCTTCACACAGTCTTACCGGGTGCCATCGCACTGCCATTCCGCCTGCCGAGCCTTTTCACCCCCTTTGCTCCGTCTTCAAATGGAAATGATTTCCATTGGCCCAAGGTGTCCATGTAAATAGGTGTAAATGAAACCAGATTATGCCTTTCTCCCAGCGCACCCCCCACCCCTCCTTCCTCCAGCTCCACTACCACCACCTCCTCCTCCTTCGCGTCCTCCTCCTCCTCCCAAGGCGATTGTCATGTGATGGCAAAGAAGTGGCACATTAATGAAGCGCCTCTGCAGGGGTCTTTTCTGCTCATGTCACCCCATAAAAACTATCAGATGGTTAGAGGAAGGACATGGAGGCAGCTACTTAGCTCACCTTAATCGAGCCAGAGAGGAGAGAGGAGCTCGATCCATTGAGCTGGCGGAGGAAGAGGAAGTCTGTGTTCCTGTAGGCTGTGAAGAAGTGAAGATCAGAGCTCCTGGAAGAAGAACAAGAAGAAGAAGGGTTGTTTTTAGAGAGGAACACCAACCAAGACTTGGCTTTTCCACCCTAAACCAGCGGATTGTCCATGCACCAACTTGTTCCTCCCTGTGTTGTAACTTCATGACTTGTCCACACGTAGAGAGTCGCTAACTTTCCGGACTTCCACTCTCAGATCTTTCAAAACACACACACACACAAAAGAGAACTACCTCGGTGCTGAAGTGAACGAGGACCAGGAAGCCTCCAGGATGCCTCGCCCGGGCAGGAACACTTACAGCGACCAGAAGCCGCCCTACTCCTACATCTCCCTGACGGCCATGGCCATCCAGAGCTGCCCGGAGAAGATGCTGCCGCTGAGCGAGATCTACAAGTTCATCATGGACAGGTTCCCGTACTACCGCGAGAACACGCAGCGCTGGCAGAACTCCCTCCGCCACAACCTGTCGTTCAACGACTGCTTCATCAAGATCCCGCGGCGGCCCGACCAGCCGGGCAAAGGCAGCTTCTGGGCGCTGCACCCCAACTGCGGCGACATGTTCGAGAACGGCAGCTTCTTGCGGCGCCGCAAGCGCTTTAAGGTGGTCACTCCGGACCCGCTGACGGCGGTCGGTGCCAAACCCTCGGAGGCGGCGCACTACCTGCAGCAGCAGCACGCCAAGCTGCGGCTGAGCGCGCTGGCCGCCACCGGAGCGCACCTGCCGCCGGTGGCCGGCTACAACCTGGGCGCCGCGTCGCCCGCCTCCACCTTCAAGCACCCGTTCGCCATCGAGAACATAATCGCACGCGAGTACAAGGTGCCCGGCGGCCTGGCCTTCTCGGCCGTGCAGTCCGTGTCGGCGGGCTACCCGCTGCACGGGCAGCTGAGCAGCGCGTGGCCGCACATGTACGGAGCCGCGGACACGGCCGCGCCCATCTCCATGGCGAGCGGCGACTACGGCGCGTACGGCGTGCCCATCAAGTCGCTGTGCCACGGCGGCCAGACGCTGCCCGCCATCCCCGTGCCCATCAAGGCCACACCGGCGTCTGTGGCCGGCCTGTCGGCGCTGCCGCACCACCTTCCCGCCTTCCTCTCGAACTCGCCGCAGTCGCTGAGCCCCACGTCGCCGCACGCCGCCGCCAGCCAAAGCAGCCCGGGCGCGCCGAGCGACGCGCTCACCAGCCCCGCCGCCCTGCAGTCCGTGGCCGTGCACTGACGTGGACACTCCCAAAAAATATTATTATTAATAATAATAAAGTGATCTGGAGGCGAGGGCACGAACTGGACACTTTCTCCAAAGTTGGACTTTTTTATTTGAAATTTTAAGAGATTTCAAGAGCTGTCCGTGTTGCAGTGCTGTTCATTTCTGTGTACGTGTTTTATGCCGTTTTTTAATGTGTGTTGCTTTAAATCGTGGGCTGTTCGTCTGAGCACACGGATCGAGGACACATATAGGCCTGCTTTATTACTCTTACTACTTTAATCCTCCATTTCTCTCCCGAGAACAGACTAGCCCACGGGTTTTAACTTAAGCCGTAACTCCACAGAGATGTGTTCCTTTAGGCCTGCTGGGTGACAGCTGGCTAAAAACAGTCAAAGTGTCAGTTTTAAAACTGTACGTATTGGTGTCATAACGCTAGCGCTAGTAAGATCTTTGGGAGGAAAACAAACTCTTACAGACAGTTAAACTCACTCTTGTAGTGCAGTTTTAATGCAGTTTATAGTGTAAAGGTCCAGAGAGCAAATCTGGCAGACTTCGCATGTTAAAGTTCCTGCTGTCTGTTAAAGACAGCGGAAAAGCTCAAAGACTCTTTTTTTCACGAAATAACAAAAAAACAAATGAACAGGAAATTCTCTCCAGTCTTCAAACCAAATCCACCGTCATTCTGAGACTCACAGGCCTACACTGTATGCTACGACATCAGACTTGAAAAATACATTTTAAAAGAGGCGCTAATCGTGAAAGACGAAGTAAATATGTGAATAATTGCAAATAAGTGATATAAAACTGTGTAAAATGCACTTTTTAGTTAGATGTTTTAGATGATCTCTATTTTGCAGGAGATGTTTTGTGAAGCATTTAATTTAAAGCCGTGGTGACCATGTGGATTAAATGCCGTAAATTTGTACTTTTTTTGTTCAGATATAAAGCATGCCTTTTCGAAAACTTTGTGTTGTTTTGCTGCAAGCATGCGTGCTTTAAAAAAAGTGTGCAAAAAAGTCTGCATTAAATTATAAACTTGGTCATCAGAATATTTTTTCATTAAAATTATGCAAACCTCAAACTTTTCGTTTTGTGCGCTTGTTTTCTTTATATTTGCTCAATGACAATTTCACATTCACTGTTTAAAAACTCATTATTATTATTATTATTATTATTATTATTATTTTTATTACAATACTAACATTAAATACACAGCTTATGTTTAAGATGTACGTACACTGATACACTAACAGTGACAGTGTCTGTTAGTTTTCTGTTAGTCTGTACGTGTTTGATTTTTGGTGATGTGACTGAGAAGCGCTCAGGTGAGCTGATTCAGTGGTGTTAGAGTAATCAGCAGGTTGATACTGAGGGTCCTCCTGCCTCTCTCTCACACACACACTCACACTCACTCTCTCTCTCTCTGGGTTCATTCCCAGCCTGCTGGAATACAGGCAAACATGAATGAAGCTCTTGATTAGGATGCATGGAGGAGCTGAGGCGCAGGCACAGCGCACACAGCCGCTCATTCATCTGCCCCGCCGCTCTCTCAGCCTTTTACACATCACCTTCAGACATCAGCTCTCAGCCTCAGCGCTCAGCTCACACTCTCTCTGCGAAACAGAGACTTATTAAACTAGATGAAGGACTGAAAGAGTCGCGGTGCTTTCGCCTCTATCTGTTTACAGCTACTCTCACTCTCTCACTCACTCTCTTCCGTGTAAATGTTTAAATGAGTTTCGACTGTCCGTTTACTTGTTTTATTTTTGTATTCCTTCTTTCTTCTCTGTATTATTCATTTATTATACTCTTTCTTTCTTTCTTTCTTTCTTTTTATTTTATTTTCTGTATTTTTTTCTAATAATTAGTATTAATATTTTTTTTGTAATGACAGTATTTTGCAACCATTTCAGTCCTTTTATATTTTTTGTTTCCCGTTTTTCCTTCTTTCGTTTTTTTTTTCTCTTTTCATTTTTTTTCTTTTACCCTTTTTTTCAGCGCTGATGCAGCTCCGTTTCTAAAGGCGATTAAAATGCGCGAAACAGGTGTATTGTTTGCGTCTCCACCCAGAGAGCAACAGCCTTCTCCGGGATATTAAGCAAATACATTAGGATTCCGTCACTTTATGCAATTGAGTTGATCAAATAAAGGGTCTCTGGCCACTTCATTCACTCTCATTCAGCTGAATAGAAAGTGCAAAGAATTGCAAACTTCGACTGGGCCACCGATGTAGATTTAGCCCTTTTTCACAGAGACAAAAAGCCTGATTTCTCCCAAACACATAGCTGACTGGGCTACTAGGAAACGAGTTCTGAGACCCCTTTGGAATTTAAATCCAGCCCCTCCCCCTTATACTCTGTTTGCACAACACAGCAAGGTTTTTCCCCTTTTTTCTTTCTTTTTTTGTCTTTTATTTTTTGGTGTTTTTGTTGTTTTATTTTGTGGTTGTGAGTGCTGCATGATCGTTTACTCTGCTTTACGGATCAGACTGAAGTGTGTGATTAAATGTTTCAGTAGCTGGAAAACAAAATAAGCTCGAAACTACATTTTACTGAAGCTTTAAATGAACAATGAACTTTAAAAATAGCATGAATAAAAACAATCTGAATGTTTTGTATTTGTTGGTTTGCCTTTATTTTTTTTTTTTCAGTAATTCAGTCTCTCTGCAGTGCTGCTGAATAACTTGGTGTAAAACAGGCCAGTCCGAGTTTCCACATCCTCTGCAGAAATTTATACCCTCACCCAGAAATAATTGCACAGTTAGCCAACATACACTGGAAAAAGTAGAAGTGTTTTAAGGTTAGAACTGATGTGAGATATTGCTTTTTGGCTTTGCGTTGTTTTATTAAAAGTATTTATTTGAGTTGAATAAAAGCAGTTGAAAGTTGGACTGATTAAACAGTTTTTTACAGTGTAAACTGAGATCAAACAGTACAAATTAAATTAAGCTAATTAAAAATAGATCCTGGCATTTGGAAACCAGTGAGACTCTACATTAATTTTACCAGTTAAACAGACCTCTGTAGACTTTTATAAATAGATTTTAATTCCATTTATACAATAAAAATCTGTATTATTTATTCTTTAGATTTATTGAATTCTATTATTATTATTATTATTATTATTATTATTATTGATGCTATTTTATTAATGATGATAATATTATTTACCCCACTGCTACTCTTACTACTACTACTACTACTTCTACTACTACTAATAATAATAATAATATCTATCTATCTATCTATCTATCTATCTATCTATCTATCTATCTATCTATCTATCCAGTTTTACCAAGTGCAACAGCTAAGCCTTCTTAACAACAAAGCCTATCGGAAAGCAAAGGGAAACCAAGGCTGTGTGCCAGAGTAGGAGTAACTGTCCTCCCACACAACATTTCCATGCATGCAGACCTACCACACCCACTACTGCTGCTTTCATGCTCATTCAAACACAACTATCATGCAAAAAATAGCCCTCTTATCTTTGTATTCTCAACATCACACTCAAGATCCAGAGCACTGCACTGCTATGACTTTATAGCTCATGAAGCAGAGCCTGTTGTCTTTCGGTGGGCTTTCTCCATTCATTAGCGCAGACATGAACCGTGTTGTGTAATCAAAGACAGAAGTGCTGTTGTGTCCCTCCCTCTCCTCTGTTACATGTTCCAGATCCTCTCCTACCAAGAAGAAGGTCATCTTAGGCAGGGGATAAAATATAGAGCACGCCATGCAAAAGCTCAGTGTGGTAGTTTAATTAAAAGAGTTCATTAGAGTGGAAGCCCAGGGTAATTAGCATGCATAATTTATGATTCTGTTAATGCATGCAGTCCATGGTGTTAGTAAAAAAAGAAAACTCAACTTAACCTCCAGTGGAGAGAAGTGAAATGGACAGTAGCTGGTTATTCATCTCATATTTATTGGTGAGCTATAAGTGGAAGAGAAGAGAAATGTAGCTACCTTTGATATTTATTATAAACTTTAGTGACTTTATTTGTATTCCCCAGTAGAGTGAGGGCTTTCCCAGCTGTATATTTTCAGGGTAGTTATTATGATTCAAAGTCTTGTGACAACGATTCTTTTGTCCAGTCAGGCAACAGTTAACATTTATTTTCAGGTGTGCTATTTCTGTATCATGCCATGTTAGCACTGATTGTGAGTAATCAGAGATCAGATACGTTGCTATTAAAAAAGACACCAAAAGAATGCATATGTCTAAAAATGGATTTAAAGTTTACTGCCTTATATTGTCTCTGTCCAAAAAAAGAGTCTTATTTTTTCTGCATTTTTTATCATTTGAGCACAGCTGCCCTTTACATTGTGTGAAACTTTCATTATGTATGGACGAATAGAAATGCTCCAACATTGCTTGGAATAAAATCTGTTTATGTTAACTTACATTAGAAGTAAAGAATGTTTTTGTCTTTTCCTGTAAGTTGCTATTTTGGAAATACTTGTTTTTGGGGGTTTTTTTTGGGACAGCAGTGATGTGCAACACTATTAAAAGCATAGAGAGTTACTGCTGCAGCACTCTCTACCCATTAGAGTTTACCTGGGCTGGAGCTCTGAAGGGTGAGATTTGACAGAATGAGGCCAGACGCAGCACATTCTCTTCATACTTCCTCCAGTATCATGTGCTGTCAACGCCATGTTTGTAAAAGTGATAAAAATTAATCTACGGTAAGCAAAAGTTGCCTCAAGTTTACTCTGCAAATGTGACAAACTGCTTGCTGGAGGTGGAGGAGTGTTGATGTGTTTATGTTTTGCTGATGGCTATTTTTCTTTCCATAATGCAGCCACCTATTGGTTTTACCAAAACAACTACATAAAAACAAATATTTTCAGATGTGCTTATAGTGGAAGTTCTTTAAAAAGGAAGTTGACTGCATGAATTCTGCCTTCAGCAGACATCTCAGCTGGGAATCACTCATCATAATTAACAATTCCAAGCTAATTTTAGTATGTATCCTTTTCATGATTAACTGTAATAAAGGGGTCTTCTAATTTCCTTTA